AATACTTATTAAACTTATTTTAGCATGATTTAGTACTTTTAAATTATGATCATTTTCATTATGACTTGTTAATTTGCAATATTTGTCTTACGCGATTTCATTATTATTATTTTTTTGTTGGATATTTTAGTGTCATTACTCATATCATATTTTGTGTTATTTTCTTAAGAAACACCTTAGATAGTTGTATTTTGGTAGGACTAAAGAAATATTTGAAGTACAAGTAAACTATAAGTTTGTATGAATACTTTACCGGAAAAACCCGAAAAAACCCAAAAATCTGAAAAACCCGAAAAAATCCGAAAAAACCCGAGGTTGAAAAACCCAAATTTTATTGGTTTGGTTTGATTTATAAATTTAAAAATCCGACACGAGTGGTTTGGTTTGATATTTGAAAAACCCAAACCAATCCAATCATGTACACCCCTAGTATTATCTGCTATAATATAGCCCATGACAACTTATATATTTAAGGTTTCTTAAATTTAATCACAACTTTCACTTATAGCTTGTTTGATCAAACTTTTGACATCAATTTATTTTAAGTGTTCTTCTAAAAAATGATGGTTCAAAGAGTACACTTTTGATGAAATACAAATTATGTTTGTTCAATATAATTTTTAAAACACTTGTGAGTGACAATTAGTGTTTGATCAAGCTTGTTACAAGTATTCCTAAATGTATATTTCTCAAAAGCTTTTTAGAAAAGTTCCTTTGAAAAAAAAACTACTCTTTTTTGGCTTCCCCAAAAAAGAACTACTACTCCCCTCGTAACACTTACATTCTCCTAAAAGCTAGGTCAAACATTTCAAAAATTTTAAATAAGCGCTTTCTGAAAATAAAATAATAAGCATTTTTGGCCTCCCAAAACCTTGGCCAAACATGTTATTACATTGTTTACCGAAGCACATCAATCTTTTTCCCATACAGTATGTTGGCCTCCCAAAGCCTCTTTACCTTTTATATTTCGGAACTCTTAGTAAAAATCCTGACTCCGCTGCATGTTGACCAAAACAAAGATACGTAAAACTTACATGAGTGCTGGTGATTGAGTGAACTTAGCAGGACGAGGGTTTGGGAGCATTTCAGTTTCCTTACTAGTTGACATGACCACCACAGAAACAAGCGCCGAAGCAAACACTAACAACCTTAACACCACATCGGCCACCGCAAAGTAGTCGGTGGGCCGAGTTGTACTCGGTGGCGGAGCCGCCTTTTCTGGCTCCGCCACTGGAGCTTCTACTGGGGGAACAACCTTTTCAGGTTCACTAGCCATAGGTACACAACACTAGAGGTACAAAAAATAAAAAAATATGTAATGAATGATAATTAAGTTAATTAGTGACTAATCAACACAATAGATAGTGATATTTATAGAGGTTTTTTTTAACTTAATCTAATTAAGGTAGTTGGAATTGCCCACACGCCAAGTTTTATTGATTAATTGGATAATAAAACACAATTATATTGATGTTAGTTCGACTACGTTAGTGTTCAAACGATGTGGAAATTATTCGTGACGCCAGGATTGATATAGAATCATAATCATACATTATATAATTAGGTTTCTTGTTGATGTTTATGTCCAATTTTGTACGTGAAGGACTCGAATCTTAATTTACATAAAGTTGAAAATGATTTAATGATTATCTTGAACTTTAACACTTTCTTATAGTCTAATTAATCATTAAAATCTTTTGTAATTAGATGAATCACCCATTTTACCTAACTTCCCTTTTTCCTCAGCATCAATAATGATATTTTATTTTTTCACCATCAAAGTGGGACAAGGCACAATTATCCTCTCTATTATGACCGAAATCTCAGAGACACACCTTAACTTCTTATTACCCCCTATACTCATTTAAAAAAAAATTGTACACCTTTTGGCTTATGTGGCACATTCTGTGACTCCACGCAATTAAGGCGTGTGGAAGATATTTGGATGTCACGTAAGTCAAAAAGGTGTAC